TCAGACTTTCATTTCAGTGGTGCATTTTTTTCTCTGTGACCAAAGAATTCGGATCAGTGATAGAATTATGATGCGTGAAAACATTTTTACTCACTAATGAATATCGATAAGTTCGTTTATTTTATTTCTATGACGAAAGATATTGATATATGTACGCTTTACAGATTTTGAAATACTCAACCATTACTCGGTTTGTGCATCTCTTTTTATCAGGTTCTATTGGTGAAAAAGGATGAGAAAATTCAGAAATCAATCTCGCATGATTCTAAAGTGCATTGAAAAAAGAATCATCATTCATTTTTACATTTTATAAAGTTACCACAGAGAAATTTTATTTCTACTACGAATAGTATTTTATCTTTTCCCCTTATATATTTGATTTTTAATTAGAGATATTGTAAATGAAAACCGCCCTCTATGAGCATTTTTATGCATTGTCAACGTTGGTACTCTTTACAAAAAAGAACACACAGTCTCGGAATGTACAAACTTTTCTCTTTCACTCTGCTTGCCAGTTGCTGAGAACAATGTCGAACATTAGCATTGAAAGCTGAGCATAGACAAGATATTAAGTCGATTCAACCCAAAAATTCTTTCGTTAGATCTATCTTGAATTACTCCTGTTGAAATGCCACGAGGACTTTTTTCTAAACTCATCCACTCTTTTTCATTGAGTGACAACGTCGAATATACTCTCAGGTTTGATTTATCATACTGACACAGACAAATTACGCATATATTCTCTGTTCATTTTATTCTCTTGCTATGAAATCGTAATTTCTATGAAAGTGAAGTTAGCGATTGATTCGAGTGTTTTTCAGAACGATTTGCCCAATCAAGTATGCCAGATAGAGCTCGACGAGTTCTATCGTTTCATATATTTAGATTTTAAGAAAAGATCAAAAACAACAGAATACAAACAAAAATATATTTTTCACCAGAACGAAAAATAAAAAAGATTCATATACCCTAAAATTATTCGATTCAGAATCGGTGCCACTTTCGAAATTTACATCATGTGACGCATCTCGATATGCTTTATAAGAAAAACTGAACACTAAAAGTTCTTCAAAACCTGAGATGTACGCCAGAATGGAATTTATTCTCCTTAAAGTTACACTACTAGATGTCGCGAGGACAAAACTTACATCATTCGATCCGTCTTAATTAGTTCTATTGATTAATAGATAATTTGTTCGGAATAGTAATACGTTACGCATGCAAGGATCTTTAAGACCAATTAGGTATTAGATCTGCATCCCATGTTTCGTGTTCATTTTAACTTTACAATGTGTACCAATGATAAAATATATTTCAATCGATTAATATCACTTAGTTCCTTCAATTAGTGCATAATTTATTCAGAATGATTAAACTTTATCAAAGCTGGGATCTTTAAAACCGATTTGAGAAGACCAAGATTTAATATTCTATTTTCTGATTTACTTTACAAAGTGTGTCAACAACGAAATATACTTCAATCGATTGGTATCAACTAGTTATGTCGACTGATGCATAATTTATTCGACATAGTTGCATTATATCAAAGCTAGAACTTGTAAAACCGATCAAGTGATGCTAATTAGTAATATTTCATTTGCCGATTCACTTTGCAAGGTGTGCCAACGATGAAGTATACTTGAATCAATTCGTATCCTTTAGTTCTGTCGATTGATGCATAATTTATTCCACGTAGTTGCACTTATGAAGGCTGCGACATATAAAATCGATCTGCTGTTGCTAATCTGTGATGTATCATTTTCACATTTGCTTCACAATGTGTATCAACGATAAAGTATCCCTGAAGTGAGTCGATTGATACTAATTATAGTGTGGGTGTGCGTGAGTGTCAGCGAAGAGAAGACTCAACTCACACCCACACCTCAAAATGAATGAATCATGATTTAAGATTTAACGCATCAAATGTAACTGGAACAGAGTAACGCATAAAAATATTGAATAAATATATACATGGAAAAAAACTCGTAGTTCAAGAAAACCGGGTTTTTATAGTGACATTTAATATCAAAGTAGAATTCTTTCTTTGAAACATAGAAATAGTATGCAAATTCTTTTTTCTCTAACCAATTAAACATAAAACGATTTCTAATTAGCTGTACGATGGGGATTCATTGCTAGAAATATATTTAATTTACTATTTTGTTTCAAGATTTTCTAATATTCAAGTTTATTTTGCTTCTAAATATAGCCAACGTTTCTAAGATCATAATCTGCTTATTCAACAAGTGAATGAGATCAACTTATGATCATTTTGAGGAGCGCATTTCATTTGAGTGATAGTTCTACAGCAAAATTATCATTATAAACATGGGTCAGCACTTCTAAGCTACTGTTTATTTATGTCAAAAAAAGAATTTTTCATTGTACAATTTGTAGTTGAATCCACAGAGAATGTAATACTCAAAAGATTTTACGTCATTAACACAGTTCGATAGACAAGCTTCAACTTATTGATGAGAATATTTTCTCTCGAGACAATAGATGTAACGATTCAAAACAGATGTTGCCTTTTTTATAGCTTCAATCAAACGAGTGTCACATATTTATCACAATATAAAAGGACAAAACTAGCTAATAAAGAAGTGAACTTCGCATTTTTTTCTTTCATTCACTGCACAAACGAATACGAACATAATCATGCAACTTTCGTTCGCATTGCTCTTGCTTTATGTTATCTTAACAGTTACATTTAAAAGTACTGCTGATACAAATCTTCACTCCAATCCTTCGACGTGTACTTGCATGGAAGCTTGTGCTCCTTACGTTCGGGAAAAGTACGATGAGTGTGTGGAGTTTTGTTCATACAACACAGAGCCGATACCTCCGTGTATGTGTGATAAAAAATATACCAATGCTGAGTCTCGCACAATTTCATTCGATGCAGACGATGTAAGTATTATAATTTTTACAACAGGTTTAAATGAGACACTACCAGATAATAAGAAGCATTGCATTGTACAAGAAAATTCAGAATTTTAAAATTGTTCTCAATCAGTCTTTTAAGTTCTGTGTATTGTTCTATTCAAAATTCTTTTTTTTTCATTCCTAGCTCATTGACACATACATGACAGAAGTGATTAAAAAAAGCAAGCTTGAAGCACCAAACGTCTATTAACTGAAAGTCTTCAATAGAGATGTATGCGAAAATTCTCGGCAATGGGTTTCTATGTAGTATAGGATCCCATTTCTTAGTGGATACAGGCGGGATAAATAGAAAATTCTACCCAATAGAAATTCTGTGTCTTCACTCAATTGAGTATTGATAGATAACATCTAATTTTTCAGGTTGTTCATGCTAAAGAAAATTAAATCAATGACGATTTGTTATTTTTTTTTGTTAACTGGAGTACCTAGGATAAATTTCCTTGTCTGTTCACACGGTCTTCGATGTATACAAAGAATCATATGATTTCTTGATGTACTAAACGTGAAGCTTCTATGTATATGACTTCGTAAAATTTTGTTTGTTTGATACTAGTGAGTTTTGTTCATTTGAATCAGAATCCTAATCCTGTTTCACTTTGATCGCTATAATATATTCTTTTCACGCTTTTTTTTTTAGAATCCTAATACTCCTAAAACCCGGGCTGATTGCGAAAAATCATGCGAGGCAACAAAGGGCTCAGACCGAGCATCGTTTGTTTGGACCTCAATGACTTGCTTCTGTCGATGTCCAAATTATGATGAACTTATCGGTTACGGAATTTATTGATGTATTCAATCTAATTTTGACATATTTTGGATATTCATATATTCAATAAAACAAATATGCAATGAACTCATGGTTAATAATATGAGTGTGGGTGTGATAGTGACAGTAATAAAAGAAGTTCAAACTTCTAGATAACTAAAAAGATCCCAAATGGTATCCTAAGTAACAATACTTAAATGCTAAATGAAATTATTTGAACATTCAATTGATTTAAACTTGCTGGGTGATAAAAATACTTGCTAAGTTTGATAATTAATATATATGTAAAATGTTTTTTCCCTAAGTTAATACATTGAAATCACAATTATCGACCGAACTTAATAATTTGTAGGAAGGATAATAGAGAATTATCTAAGATGCAAATTTTTAGATGATAGTATGGTGAGTGTATTTTCTCTTCCGCCAGTAGTAATGGAGAAAAACATTTTCCGGAAGTTTTGGGCAAGAGTGGCTAAATGGGTGTGGGTATGAGTGCAGATGTTTCTTTTTTACTCACACACCTACACCCAACCCCAAAGTATTTGATCCTGAGTTAAACAGAACAACTCATTCCAACCATTATACATATATTCTGACAGTTTCCCTAAATATCTTCTACCAGATCCAAATGGCTGATTATTTTACATGATTCTTTCACTTACATATTCTTTCTTCTTTTCTATTTTGTTTCTTTTCTTTCCTTGTTTCAATATCTTTTGTTTAGTTCAATTCTATCAATAACTATAGACAATTTGAACTCTTGACTTTTGAGGAGCAACATTTATTTAATGTATTTAATTATTCATTGATTTATCTTTTCTCTTTCTTTTATTATAGTGTTTTTATTTTTACATTTTTTTAGCGACGTTTCGTCAATGATGTTGATTTCATCAGACTCTTAGGTATAAAATGACATAAACCCCTGCCCATATTAGAAGACCCCCTTTAGCAAAAAGTTTGAAAGCCGTATTACAAGACCCGGGTCTTCTTTTTTAAGAATAAATTTTCTTCTGTTATCCGAGTATATTTAACAAAATTTCGTATATTAGTCTTTTCTACTTTCGTTCTCTGAGGAAGATATTCTAGGCAAGGTAAAATGTCGGACGAAGAAACAGAACAATACGCATCACTTTCATTCATGAAAGAATAGAAAGAGAAATAAACATTATTGTTCTTTCTGACTGAAAGAACAAAAAGAGAAATAAATTACTTTCCTTGTTCTTTTTGACTGAAAGAAGAAGAAAAACTATAAATTGTATGTTTTTAATCATAAATAATAGCAAATAACATGTCGATGAACGACGGTGAAGTACATCTATTACCTTTAATTGATAATAATGATTTCGATAGTTCATCAAGTGAAACAGAAGATGATGATTCTATCGAAGTCTTGTCAAATGTGGATGAAGAAGAGAACAAAATTATTGATATGACAAAATATTCAACATTTAGCTCCGATGATGAATCGGAAATTGATAATAATGCTAATGATATTATATTAATTGATAATCATGTTGTTCAATGCTGTAACACTAATGATCGTATTCAAAGTTCTGCACTTGATGGTACATGTTTAGATTCTGGTTCTGATGTATCAGATGATGATGTAAATGAAAATCACTTATCCAATGAATGTACCACTAATTCAACATCATATTCATTACCAGTTGCAACTGACGTCAATGGATTTAATAATGATACGAAAAAAACTTCAAAACATAAACCTCGTCAGCGGTCGATTGTTGAAAAGCTTAATGCTATTAATACTTTCAAATCTAATGGAAGTAAACATCGAACTGCTGTTAAACATGGCTGTACAACAGCTCAATTACGAAAATGGTTGAAGTGTGAAAATGAATCAAATCGTCATCTAAATGCTGATGTTATTTGCGATTTACGTAAAAAAAGAGTAGTAGTTGCTATTATACCAAAAGGTTGCACCATGTATCTGCAGGTGCTTGATGTTTCTGTTTTTTCAGTTTTTAAGAATCATTACGACGCTGTTGTCGAAGAATATATTGATCACAATGGACCAAGAAGTAAAATAAAACTTACAGCATCTCAATCACGTATTCTTTGCACCAGATTTACATGATCTGCATGGTTACGAACATTAAAAAGTATCGATTTTGTTAAAGCATTTCAAGATATTGGTTATATCTGGTCAGATAATTCACCATTTTTTCTTCGTACAATGCCTGGCTACACATTTGATCCAAGTTCAGCTGACTGAGTATCGTCAATCAATGATGATAACGATATAGAAGATCGTATTGATATTGTCGCTGATAAAGCATCAGAACAACAACACACTCAGTCATTAGCAACACGATCAAAACAACTAACACTATTGAATATGTAGAAAAAATAAAATGCAGCAGTTTTTTGTATGTAATATTTATTTTGGGTGTAATATTTATACTATGTATGATATTTATTGTACGTGCAATATTTATTTTGTGTCTAATACTCATTTTGTGTGTAATATTTATTTTGTTCGTATATAACGAAAATAAAGTAAATTATCATAAAGCATGAAAACTAGAATTCGCTTTGTTTTCATACAAGATTCTAGCTACTGACGGTTTAGAAGACCCCCCTTAGCAAGTTGACATACAAGGACGCATTAGAAGACGCTGGGTCTTTTATTACGGGGAGGGGTTTACAAGTTAAAATAGCATGTACATTTAAACACACAGATGCACTATCTATTTATTGATAGTTGAACAAACAAGACGTTGATACTGGACGAAGTTACGTTTTTTTAAATTTTTCCTTCATTTCTTCCACTATTAATAAATAGATAGTATATATATGTGTGTATAAATGTATGTTATTTTACCTTGCATGCCATTTTATACCTAATAGTATGATGAAGTCAACATTGATGATAAAACTTCATCAAATACGAATAAAAATAAAAACATCGTAATAAAAGGAAGAGAAAAATTAAATTAATTAATATTTAAATGAATTAACTACATATTATTCCGTCAAAGTCAAGGATTCAAAATCCCCTACGAAGAGAAAACCTATGTCATAACCGGAAGGTTGAAAAATACGCACCAAAAAGAAAGTGAAAATAAAACACTACATTAATTTATCTCAAACAATGTAAAAGAGCTAGTCTTATCTCACAAGGAAAGTTTGTTAAAAATAAAGAAATATAAAATAACCATAGCAATAAATAATCAGTATATAAATTACTGACAAAAATAAGTGATAATACTTTAGAATGGAATTATAGATGTAAAATATTTAATGATATTAAAAGAATAACACAAAAAACGGTATTAAAAATAGACATGAAGAATGTATATCCATCTAGAAACCTCATAAAGGACCCAAAACGGATGAACTAATTCGACAAGAAAAAAAACAAAATTAACGATTTAAAAAAAGAAAAATGACGGTACATGGGAAGAACATGCTAAAACAAAAAGGCATATCGCACGAAACTAATAAGTCAGAAATAAATTTAACAAATGTACAGATGGAAGTCTTGACAGAAGGATTAAAATTTGCCCCAACATTCATCAATATAATCAACGTTGTAACTGATACAGGAAAGCTATCAAGTATGGTGCCAGCATCTATAGAACAAGCAGCTGTGGCAGAAATAATTACATGTATGAACTAGTGGAAAAAACCAAACACAGACGACATGAGTAACGAAGAACGAATAGCTCTCAAAAAAATCAAATCTATGAAAGAAATAGTAATTGTCGAAGCGGAGAAAGGTGATAAAACAGTAATTTTAGATGAACAAGACTATATAACACAAAGAGAAGAAAAAATTAAACTACACAAACTTATATGAGCAAGTAGAGGACCCTAATGATATGGTTAATCAAAAAATAGCAGAAATAATGAACAAATTAACAAGCAACAAAACATATCAATAAAAACAAAACTTAAACTCATCTCTATAGACGATCTAGCGCGAATTAGAGGACAACCAAAATTGCATAAACCAAATAATCCAATGAGAATAATAACAAGGGTCGGATATACTATTACATCACCAATATCTAACTTAGCATCCTCGATTATTAAACAATTGAGAGACACGATCAATAACATAATATACAACACAGCAGCTTCATTAAACAAAAATCACAAATAAAATTGGAAAAAGATTAATATTTAGTGAGCCTTGATATAGAAGATTTATTTAATAACATCCTTATTACCAAGGCAGTAGAAATTGCAATCAACAGAATAGATATGTCTGGAAAATTCCAATAGTCAGTTTTGAAAAAAAACAGATATAAAAAATATTCTTCTATTAGCATTAAACAAAAAATACTAAAAAATCAACTTCCTGGATACAACAATTATCAGAAACAAGAAAGTGATCAACATTAGGTGTTCCGAAAAGAAACGGCGGCGGTGGATAGACTACTCAATTTCCAATCCTGACATGACAAATCAATAATCACCAATATTGCTAAATATATGATAAATCGAATGGTTGAAGTCAACAAAAGTAACCAGGAACAAAACCAAGATATAGATAGATTAAGTAAAATCTTGATCGATTCGGATTATCCACTATATGTGATACAAACAATAATAAATTATTTAATAAAAACAAAAACCTCGACAGAAAATAAATAATGAAGTAAAGACAAAAAGAAAAGTAAAAATGATAAAAACGAAGAAAATTGAAGAAAATCAACATAAAATTATTTTATTCTCATGTAAATAAATTAAAATTAGCATTGAATGGTAGCATAAAAAGAAGATCGAAATCACTAATGTAACAAATACAATCCAGCTGTGGAAAAAATCTACAATAGTGAAACAAAAATAGGTTCGGGAAAAAGAATAAAGCAACATGAAGATTTAATTAAGAAAAACGAAGAAAGTTCGAATTCAGAAATAGTAAAGCATTATCAAGAGATGAAATATCAATATTCATTCAACACCAACGAAGTATTTATGATCGAAAATGAAATCAACTGAAGAAGGAAAAGAAAAACCAAAGGAACGATTGACTCACACATGAACCAATCCATTATTAAACGAGATAGCCTCTATAAAGAAGGAACACCATTATTGCAGATAGTGATATCTGTAATAAAGACAAGCATAGAACCAAAACGAATAATGTATTTTAACATATAAATACAAAAGAACGGACAGTGATAATAAAACGAACGAAGGAGAAATTGAAAAAAAGTAACTTCGTTCGGTATCGCCGTCTTTTTCGTTCTACTATCAGTAAATAGACAGGATGTGTGTATAAATGTACATATTATATTATCTAGCATGCCATTTTATACCTAATAGTCTGATGAAGTCAATATCGTCGATGAAACGTCATCAAATAAAAATAAAAATAAAAACATCATAATAAAGGCAAGAGAAAAATTAAATTAATTAATAGTTAGATAAATTAAACAATTTGAATTACTCAAATTTTTATGTAGATACAACTCAAACATTCATCTTTCTCACACAAATTTAAACGATTCAATAATTATAACTTACGCTTGATTTGCAAATCTTATCTATTTATTAGTAATGTTAATTTAATTGAAGCCGAAACATCAAAAAAAAACATCTACTAATTAATAAAAATTTTTTTGTAATCCTAACAATTGACAATGATTTTACAAACCGCTGCCATTTCCATTTATTTCTTTAAATTAAAACAAAAATAAAAATGAAAAATGTCGCAATTTTCCTTGATTCATTCGACATCTCACATGGCCAGCGCACATGCAAAGCAAATCGATGGATCATCACACGTTTTTCTCTTTCTCATCACGCACTCAATACGTAATTATATTTGCGCTTTTGATTGATGTAATTTGCATCGTTCTTGACAGATTTTACTATTATCTATCTCATTCTTTGTCCATCTTGGTTTCTAATCATAGAAAAGAAATACATCATGTGCATCAAACGAGGGGGTCTTTATCTATTCTTTGACAAAAATAAGATGCTTCTATTATATTCCAGATTTTCTTTTGCTTGCGTCAATGTGTTGTGTGCATAGAGAAAGAACGACAAAAATGATCATTCGATTCTATCGATAATAAATAGGCTATGTGGAGAGTACACCAACGTTTTTATTATACAATCGTTTATCGCCTACATTGAAGACGAGAGTCGTATGAAAAAAAAACTAATTTTTCTGTTCTATGCGAGAAAAGGTATTGTCTTGCAGCTTGAGAGACATTTTTCTCGGGCTCCCTTCTAACTATTAAGCCATTTTCTCTTTGATTTTTGAAAAGACAATCTATGGCCATGCTTCAATAATTTATGAAGAGAGTGAGATAAAAATATATTCTCTCACTTTCTCTCTCGCTCTTGGTAGTAAGCTACATAAAAACGAGTATATCACTGATACATCAAAAACAATCGTCAACTGGAATCTCTTAAAAACAAAGATCACAATGTTTAACAGCAAAACCATTTTATCATGGCTCTGACGGTCATCACCATTGTAAATAGCCAGAATCGACCGCAAAATATGATCGATTCATTTGTAGCAAAGCTATTTTTATCAACCAAGGACTACTTGTAATCACAACAATCACAACATGAAATGAACAATATCGTTGTTAGAACCATCCATTTACACTGCCGACCAGACTTTGTCACCAACTACACATCTGACTAACGAAGCCAGCCACATAACTGACATAATTCTTGGTGACTATTATACATTACCTATGCGATTTTTCATTCCGACTACACAACAAACTATATGTCTCAACTATCAAACATTCTCGAACGCAAATCTTGTAACAACTCTCCACATATTGCCCGAAACCGAGAATCGAAAAAGTCTAATATTTTTCCTACCAACTCTTCACAATATTTGAAGACAAACCTCTTGCGAATCATCCTTTCGTCATATGATCTTCTTCCATATCATTCATATGAGATCTTTGCTTTCATCTCTTTATAAAGTTGAACAGAATCCTTATGAGAATCATTCCTTCGCTATATGATCTTCCTTCATGCCATTGCGATGAGATCTTTCCTTTCATCTCTCAACAGCAATTGAGGAGAACCCTAATGAGAATTATTGTGTACTCATGTGATCTTCTTCCATGTCATTCGTGTACAACCTTTCAT